TTTTGCATCACTACTGAAACGCGAGTAAAAGTTGTGAAACTAGTTTTGGAAACAAGTTTTCAATCAAATAAAGTTTCAGTTTTCATTTGGTTGGAGTTGTATAGTGTGGACAATGACCTTGAATACAGATTCTTGTGTCTTAAATGTCTGAATACAATCCCAAATAATTTCAAAATCAAACTTTTAATTTAAATAATAATCTATTTTAACACAAAAAATGTTTTTAATTTGTTTAATGAATGTTTAATTTGTTGCTATTTTTCAATGAGAGCCAAATGATGGAGAGTATAGTCGTGGTGGCCATCGGTGTCTTGTGTCTGGTGTTTGTGGGATCGTTGGCGGCGTTGATAATGATATGCCATCACCGGTATTGTCGCAAAGACTTCTTCGCCAAACACTTTATCGACTCGCGTCCGGACGTCGGTCTCATCGGTGGTCACAATGGATACGAAAACGGACACAACTCTATCAACAACATGGAGTTGGATGACGTCCGACTGCATCCCGATATCGACAAGATATTGGCCGACACTCAATGGGTAGACGACGCCACTGGACTCATACCTCACTGTTTGGCAATACTTAAGAGTTGTCATCACTTGACCGAAAGACTAGTGGCGGCGACAATGAGCGCAATGACCAGATATCAAGAGGAGGAACAGCAGCACAAGTTGTGGGAAATTATAAAAGTCGCCCAAAGGATTAGTCCGCGAGTGGACGATGTGGTCCAGTCTATGTACCCTCCATTAGACCCCCGGCTGTTAGAATCGCGGTGCCTATCGCTCGTGTTATCGGTGTCACAGCTCGCGATTGTCATTAGATATCTTTGTCACGTGAAGAGCCAATGGATTCAAGAGGCGCTCCAAGAATTGGACGTACAGTTAAAGGTATGTGTGATTTAGATATAAATAATTAAACTGTTTCTTACAAACAATTAAAACGTTTCATTCATTTTAGGTCCTCAGAGACGCCGGACAAACACTTCTGGATACATACCAGACGAGCGGTGCATCTAATGCTAACTCAGACGAAGAAAAAGATATTGAAAATATCGGATCAATTGCTAATAGAGTTGATATAAATCGATAAATTCATCCGTAATA